GGAAATGAAAACCTACAAGCTGTTGTGTCAGTATAGTCCTGTTGGTCCTCACTCACTGCAAAACTCTTGTCAAAATTTGCTGAAAGCACTCTTAAGATGAGCATCATGACATGATACAGCTAGTACACTAGGGAGAACTACAGGAACACATTTGCCAGAGTATCTCCATATCCAGGCTGAAGAAACATATGTGCCTCTGAGGGGAAGCACAGAGTGCTTAGGAGTCTGAAGAGGCTGATAAGCTCTTTGGGAGATTTTCCATAACACTGAAATAGCTTTTAAAATTTGGCTCTTCCATCCTGGAAAATTCCTTACATTTGCATCTAATAACTAGATCATTAGTTCCAAAATGAATCCAGTGTGTTTCAGAACCCAGCTGTCCCTTGCCCCCTCTAACATGTATTACCTTGCAAATTGAATCCTTTTTTTGGCTGTTTAATGCTGAAAACAGGATTTTGTATTTCCCTTTTTTTTTTTTGGGACTCAGGGTGGGAAGATCTGGTTCTGCTGTGTGGTCTCTTCCAGCACTCACAATAATGAAAGACTTCTCCATAGGGGTTACTTCAGTTCAGAGATATTACACAAATGCAGCTCATTGTTTTATCACCCAGCAGAATGAAGCCATTTCTAGGCTGAAATTGAGGAAGTTCTTTAACAACAGAGCAGCAGAAGATATGTAAGAACAGAAGAACAGCTGAATTAAGAAAGAGAAATATCCTAAGTGTGCATGAGAGCTGTGTGTGCATGAGAGCTGTGTGTGCCTTGTGCAACAACAGCCTGCCAACAGTGGCTATTGCTAGAACCAGTGGAAGTTCAATGTCAATCTATTTAAAAGCAGCTAGTACCTGGGGGTTTTGCTAAGGAAGGGTGACGAAAGGCTAAGTCCATTCAGTAAAAGCAAGTGCTCTCAGTGCAAATGGGATTTCAGTTTTTGGGGAAGAACTTGGAAAGATCAGACATGTGAAATGTGAGGAGTGGTTGCAGCAGAGTAGATACTTGCATGCTAGATCAATGAGAAGTACAGCTGCTTCTAGTGCAGCAGGTATGTGAAGGTCAGGGAACAGCAGAATTCTCAGAGTGCAGTGATCCTTTATAGAACACATTTTGTGACTGTCTGACAGGACCTTCTGGTATAAACTGAAGATAATCTAACAGAGCAGCTGCAATTATGGTACAAATACTTCAGGGAAAAGGTAGAGACATGCTTCCTTGACTTGTTTCCTGAGTAATGCTAAAGTGAGCAGGCATCTGGAAGAAGCAAAGCCAAGGCAATAGAGGCATTTTATTTAACACTGTCATCTCCTTTAGTTTGGTCACTACAATTCCAGTCTCTTCCCTATCTAAAGCATCATGGTATATGCCCATGTAGCTGCAGTACTAGGAATACAGTACATTAAAAAAAAAATAAAAGAAAAAGCAGATGCCTCCAAGAGGTATTTAATCAGTGGGTATCATAATCCCCTTCTACACTGAACTGACTTGAGATGAAATGATGTCTCAGCAAGCACAGACTGGGGATAGACTGAGGAATATGAAGTGCATGTGCTCACCAGACTCCACCTATTTGTATCAGTCAGACTTTATCTATTCATAACAAACAACAAGATGACAGTTTTACATCTCTCCAGAATGGAACTACCTCTACCTATCTTCCTTCATCAGCAGTTCACTAGGGATATGGGTTAAATCTGTCACCTAATAATGGTGAATCTGCTCCCCTGAACTGATCAGGGTGAAGTTTTGGAATCTGGTTCTCCTTTTTTGAAATTATAAAAGATAAGGAATCCATGTAAGTTCTGGGATATGACAGATGACAATTAAAGAAAAGTGTTGGCCTGCTGAGCTACTGCAAACTTGTAATGATTTTGGAGATCCAGCTCTCTAAGCAAAAGGGAGCTAGGGTGAGAAAGCAGCAGTTGATGGGAAAGTTATAGCTCCCATAAGGTAAGATGGATGTTCAATTTCATCAGCTAGTTCAATGGGGAGAAATGTTTGAAGGTTTTGCTACACTTGCATTATTACACTAGTACTGTTATACACAAGCCTGATGTGAAAGCTTAGCCCCTTTTCTCCTGTTTTTATGTGTACAAGAGATACAGATCTGCAAGAATTTAACCAAAGCACATGTAGCAGATGCATGACTCACCCCTCTTTTGCTACAGAATTAGTTCTGTGCCTGTCATGTGTCAGCCTGTTCTATGAAACCACTTCCTTAATTTACTTTGTCTCCATGTCACGGCTTAATCACTTGGTGTTGAAACCAATCTGGGGTTACAATAAGTCATTCACCTTATGTTTGAAAGCAGGCAGTATGCTCAGAGAAAATTAGAGGCAAATTTTAGCCTAGTATCCATATGACTTCATCAAGAATAATGTGCTGTGTTGCTGAATACATTTACATTATGTAGGACAGATTTTTTTTAACAACTCAGCTAAAAAGCTCCAGAGGAATGAAATTGCCAGTTTTCCCATGCAGCTCAGCCCCCACTGAGCACTAGGTGTCTGCATGGTTGGAGGGATATGGAAAGAGTTGCACCTCTCTTCCCATAATGCAGTGAGCAGAGCTCAACAGGGCATGAGGATCTAGGCCTAAAATCACTTTTAAGTTTCCAGATGTGAAGTGAGGCCTGTACTTCATTTCCATTCTGTGATTCTTCTTCATGCTTACCTTCCTTTCTCATGCTCTTCCAAATATTCTTCTGTGACTGCCTGACTCAGTTATCAATGTAAAGGATAAGTATGAGAGTCGATCATTGTTATGTTCCCATGGCCTTCCAGAAGTCAAAACAGTGGGAAAAGCCACAGCAGGAAAGTTTGACAGAAGGCAAAACCAGCAGCATGTCACTTAAGTAGCTGCAGTGAGGCATGATCCATCATGAAAACAAAGCTGTGCTTTAACTAAACATACTTAATGGAGGGTCTAATTTTAATGGGAGAGGTCAGGCCAAGCTTTTGCTGTGTAACAGGGATAACAGGTCCTAACAGTAAAATTAGATTGCAACTTTACTGGTAACCAGCTTCCTAATAACTGAGATTTTCAGGAGTAAATTGAGCAAGATCTACTCCTCTCTTACTGGTTTTGGTAAAAATTTAATGACATATTCGGAGAGCAAAGCAAGGTGAACACTTGGAGAAGTTTTCTGTAAACTGAATTCTGAACCAGCATTCTGAAATGAAATGCTAAAATGTCTGCTAAAATCACTTTGTGAACTGAATTTTACATCACCTGCTCAAGTTTAGGGAAAATGGATTGTAAACACTTCAAGCCAGAACTTACTTTCAAATTGTTCTGTGAGGTATCTAGCACTTCTGAGGGTGCTGTAAGACAGAAATGGTATGCTTTTAGGAATGCCATTGTCCAAATGCCTACACAAACATGAAGGGTTTTGAAATAATATTCTTTCCTGAGCAATTTGAAGGTTCATACCACCTTTATTTTTCCTCCTCTACTGAAATATACTTTCAGCCCCCTGTGCTGTCCTCTGCAGCAGCAATGTTTTGTTTCAGCATGTTCAGGTTGCAGGAGAGCTCTTTGTTCTGTGAGGTTAAACACTTTTATTTTCCTTAGGACTGGTATAGTACCTGGAACAATTGTTTCTGAGGCATCTGCAAAGAAGACTATTACACCCAGGAATTAAAAAAGCTAAGTACGCACAGAATTTTCATTATGGAAGAAACACGGTCATGTCAGCCTTTGAAACAAGTAGATGATCTCTCTACACTGAAAGCAGATGGAAGGAATTCACATAGATGTAATTGATACACAGGTTTAGAAACTTACTCTATTGAGTAATGGCATGATGTTTTTTACATATTGTTACTGTCACCACACCTACTTAATTTAAGACATATAGTTAAATCAAGTAAAGGCCTAATATGCAGTCAAATGCATGTTTTGAGATGAAATCTGCCCTGAAATATCTTATATGTTGTGTTTACAAAGGGCAGAAGTGGTGATGTAGGATGAATCCACCAAGATTTTCACTCATATAGCTTTATGTGCAGCTTTAAAGCACCTGCAGAATTCCTAGCGGTGTATTTTTGTTTGGGTGTAATAATGACTATCTCCTGTCTCTTGATAAATCCAAAGCTCAAAAAATATTAAACACCAGTTCCCTTTGTGGTCTGTAAACTGTAGTACCATTTAAAGCTTGAAATAGCTCAGTAAGTTATTCACACTTAGTAGGAATTAAATTCCAGAGGAGGGAGAGGAGATGAAGACAGACGGTGCGATGCTGCAAGCCTGTCTCTATTACAGCACCTGTGCTGTGCCACTATTGACAGTAGCCACTCTCCTTCTAATATTTTACAAAACAAATGCCCCCTATAGCACTGTGTGAAGAAAGAGAGCAAAAAAAGCTGGAGATTTATTGGCGTCCCTGTGGGATTTTAAGTTCCTTGTGTGGCTGTTTACAGAACAGGCAGCTGCCCAACTGGAGCGCTCCGGTCCTGCCCCGGGCAGAATGCTACATCGCTCGAGTCACACCTCTGCTGGCTGGCCCTGCCACAGCACAGCAGCTGGCCCAGGGCACCCCTCTCCCCAGAATAGTTTTTGGTCCCTAACCACAATCCACAGGGAAGATGCTTAGGACCAAGGAATCTAGCACTTAAAATGCTGATTATACACATAATTAGACATATGCACAATATTATATGTATATGAAAGCTTATGATTCTTTTTCACATGATGGAAACTAACATGGAGGTCAGAGTCTGTTTGGATTAGCAGCAGCATGAATTACCCAAAGCTCCTTAAGGGACATCATAAACAACTAAAAAGTAAGTCTAAAGAGACGCCGTTTTTCTTGTCTCTGTCACCTCAGAGATGAAAATCTGGTCAAATACCAATAATTTACTAAAGTTAGTAAATACAGTCTTACTGTTAGTAATAAAGGTCTGCACAGAGTGGCTCATAAAGGAAAGGCAGCCGCAGCTGGTGCCAGGCTCGGCGCAGCGCGGGGCCGCCCGGAGGCTGGGGCTGGCTTTGGCTTTGAGCGGCAGCAGCACATGTGACCGAAGCACGACTCGTGTCCCACAGGGACGTGGCAGCACCCGACACCTCTACAGCCCGGACTAGCGGCAGGTCTCCCGAGAGGGGGGAGCTGGTGGGAGGTCGGTGGAAGCAGAGCCGTGCTTTCTTTTGTCCGGGGGGCTCCGTTTGCACTCCTCGCCCCCAGCCAGCAGCTAGGAGACGGCTGGGGGCGGGAAAGGACAGGCACGGGGCTTCGGCCCGCCCATCTCCTTCTCCCCGGCTAAGGCACGCACAAACCACTTTTTTTTCCTATGGGCGAGGCGTTTTGGGAGAAGGACCAGCACAAGTCGGGGGCGCTGGCTCCTTTGTGCTCCGATACCAGCAATCCCTGTTCCGTAGTCGCCCCATCCCCCGTCTCTCGCTCTGTTCTGCCCC